GTGGCGTCAGTGATACACGGTGTGGCTGCTCTCTTTACTTCTAAGAGTTACAACACATACACAAGAATAACGATACACGAAGAGCGGGTTATCTGGTGGTGCGGGAGGTAAGGTCAGGAGTGACCAGCCCCGGTCACGGGCCGGCTCGTCGAAGGTGTGAGCCGAGAGTGAGTGAGGGAGCCCCAAGCCCTGCTCGGGCAGGCGACCCTGAGAGAGTGAGTGTGAGTGAGTGAGGATGAGGGTCAGCTTGGATGACCTTGTATACCCCTTGGCGGCGTGACTTCTGGGTTCAGCGAGGACAGGCAGAGAGCGTGGGTTACCAGCGTGGCACGCTACCACGTGGTGGCCATGCGGTCCCGTAGATATGAATGCATATGCTTGCAGTATGCTGCATTGCACCCTTTATAGGGTTCCTATCCTTTGGCAGTGCGGGATTTGCGGGGATGGAGGGAAGAAGGGAGAGAGGGAAGGAGAGAGAAAGAGAAATAAAGAGGGAGAGTGGGAGAGAGAGAGAGAGAAACAAGGAATAGTACAGGTCTTCAACGCGATCACGTCGTTCTGTCACGTTCGCTTTATTCTTGCCGACTGCACAGTGTGTGTGTCTGTTTTTATATTTGTATTCGTATATTTTGAAATGATGAGTAAGAGCATATATATTTAACGTGTATTTAACTTAAACGTAAAAAAAAAAAAAAAAAAAAAAAAAAAATAGTCGGTTCAATCAGCTGGAAATGTTGTTCATGAGACATCTATATTTCACCCCTTAATTTTGTGCTAACCGTAAAGTTCATGTCCTATAAACGTCTGAAAAGAGAGAGAGAGAGAGAGAGAGAGAGAGAGAGAGAGAAAATCCGTATATGAGTTTTGTTCTAATTATGTGTTTTATTTTTCTACTTTCAAACGTTATAGAAATGCGTCTCGTGTGTGTCATGAGTGTTCTTATGCAGATGAGAAGTTAGTTAAAGGTTTTAGCGTTATAGGCGTTTTTGAGCGTGTTATGAGTGTTCTTACGTCAATGAGAAGTTAGTCCGAGGTTGTAGTGCATGGCAACAGGAATTGACGGGGTTACAATCCTTGGGCAGTGCGGGCGTGAGATGGAGGGAAGGGAGAGAGAGATGGAGGAAGAGGGAGAGGGCGATGGAGGGAAGGAGAGAGGAGAGAGAAGGGAGAGGGGATGGAGGGAAGGAGAGAGATGGAGAGAAGGGAGAGGGGGTGGAGGGAAGAAGGGAGAGGGCGATGGAGGGAAGGAGAGAGATGGAGGGAAGAAGGGAGAGAGATGGAGGGAAGAAGGGAGAGAGATGGAGAGGGGGATGGAGGGAAGAAGGGAGAGGGGGATGGAAGAAAGGAGAGAGATGGAGGGAAGAAGGGAAGGGAGAGAGGGATGGAAGTTAGAAGGGAGAGGGGGATGGAGGGAAGAAGGAAGAGAGGTATGGAAGAAAGGAGAGATGGAGGGAAGAAGGGAGAGAGATGGAGGGAAGAAGGGAAGGATGTAGGGAAGAAGGGAGAGAGATGGAGGGAAGAAGGGAGAATATGAAGAAGGGAGGAGGAGATGGAGGGAAGAGGGGAGAGAGGAGAGAAGTTAGTCCGAGGTTGTAGTGCATGGCAACAGGGATTGCCGGGGTTACTATCCTTTGGCAGTGCGGGCGTGAGATGGAGGGAAGAAGGGAGAGAGAGATGGAGGGAAGAAGGGAGAGGGGGATGGAAGGAAGGAGAGAGATGGAGGGAAGAAGGAGAGAGAGATGGACGGGAGAAAAGAGAGGGATGGAGGGAAGGGAGAGAGGATGGAAGGAGAAGGAAAAGAGAGGAGAGAAGAAGAGAGAGAGATGGATGGAAAAAGGAGAGAGAGATGGAGGAAGAAGGAGAGAGATGGAGAAGAAGGGAGAGAGAGATGGAGGGGGAGGTGAAGGGAAAGAAGGAAGAGGATGGAAGGAAGAGGAAGAGGAGAGAGAGGAGAGAGAGAGAGATGGAGGGAAGAAGGGAGAAAGATGGAGGAAAGAAGGGAGAGAGATGGAGGGAAGAAGGGAGAGAGATGGAGGGAAGAAGGGAGAGAGAGATGGAGGGAAGAAGGGAAAGAGGGATGGAGGTTAAGAAGGGAGAGTGTGATGGAGGGAAGAAGGGAGAGGGGGATAGAGGGAAGAAGGGAGAGGGGGATGCAGGGAAGAAGGGATAGAGAGATGGAGGGAAGAAGGGAGAAGGGGATGGAGGGAAGAAGGGAGAGAGGGATGGAGGAAAAGGAGAGAGAAAGAGAAACAACAAGGAATCGTACAGGTCTTTAACACGATCACTTCGGCCTGTCGCGTTCGCTTTACTGTTGCTGACTGCACAGTGAGTGTGGCTGTTTTTATATTTGTATTCGTATATTTTGAAATGATGAGTAAAAGCATATTTGTATTTAGCTGAAACAAAAGGAAAAAAAAAGAAAAAAAAATAGTCGGTCCAATCTATATTTGACCCCTTAATTTTGTGCTAACCATAAAGTTTATGTTCTATAATCGTCTGAAGAACGAGAGAGGAAAATAATCCTTATATGAGTTTTGTTCTGATTATGTGTTTTATTTTTCTACCTTCAAAATGTTATAGAAATGCATCGAGTGTTCTTATACCGATGAGAAGTTAGTTAAAGGTTTTAGTGTTACAGAAATGCGTCTTTGAGCGTGTTATCAGTGTTTTATGCAGATAAGTCAGTCAGAGGTTTTAGTGTTAGAGAAATGCGAGAGAGAGGAGGGGAGGAGAGGAAGAGAGAGAGATGAGGGAAGAGGGAAAAGAATGGAGGAAAAAGGGACAGGGGATGGAGAGAAGAAGGGAGATGGGGATGGAGGGAAGAAAGGAGAGGTGGTAGAGGAAGAAGGGAGAGGGGATGCGAAGAAGGGAGAAAGAATGGAGGGAAGAAGGGAGGAGAGAGATGGATGGAGGGAAGATGGAAGAGGGGATGGAAGAGAAGGGAGATGGGGATGGAGGGAAAGAAGAAGGGAGGGGGTAGAGGGAAAGAAGGGAGAGGGGGATGGAGGGAAGAAGGGAGAAAGAGATGGAGGGGAGAAGGGAGAGAGGGATGGAGGAGAAGGGAGAGAGAGATGGAGGGAAGAAGAGAGATAGATGGAGGGAAGAAGGGAGAGAGAGATGGAAGGAAGAAGGGAGGAGACGGAGGAAGAAGGAGAAGAGGGAAGAAGGGGGAGAGGAGGAAGAAGGAGAGAGAGGGATGAGAAGGAAAAGAGAAACGGAGGGAAGAAGAAGAGAGGGATGGAGGGAAAAGGAGAGAGAGGAAGGGAAGAGAGAGGAAGGAAGAAGGGAGATGGAGGGAAGGGAGAGAGAAGAGGGAAAAAGGGAGAGAGATGGAGGGAAGAAGGGAGAGAGGGATGGAAGAAAGAAGGGAGAGGGGGATGGAGGAAGATGGAGGGAAGAAGGGAGAGAGAGATGGAGGGGAGGGAGAGGGATGAGGAAGGGAGAGAAAGAGAAACAACAAGGAATCGTACAGGTCTTTAACACGATCACTTCGGCCTGTCGCGTTCGCTTTACTGTTGCTGACTGCACAGTGAGTGTGGCTGTTTTTATATTTGTATTCGTATATTTTGAAATGATGAGTAAAAGCATTTATATTTAACTTGTATTTAGCTGAAACAAAAGAAAAAAAAGAAAAAAAGTAGTCGGTCCAATCTATATTTGACCCCTTAATTTTGTGCTAACCATAAAGTTTATGTTCTATAATCGTCTGAAGAACGAGAGAGGAAAATTATCCTTATATGAATTTTGTTCTGATTATGTTTTATTTTTCTACCTTCAAAATGTTATAGAAATGCATCGAGTGTTCTTATACCGATGAGAAGTTAGTTAAAGGTTTTAGTGTTACAGAAATGCGTCTTTGAGCGTGTTATCAGTGTTTTATGCGGATAAGTCAGTCAGAGGTTTTAGTGTTAGAGAAATGCGAGAGAGGGATGGAGGGGAGAAGGGAGAGAGAGATGGAGGGAAGAAGGAAAAGAATGGAGGGAAAAAGGGACAGGGGATGGAGAGAAGAAGGGAGATGGGGATGGAGGGAAGAAAGGAGAGGTGGACAGAGGGAAGAAGGGAGAGGGGGATGGAGCGAAGAAGGGAGAAAAAGGAGGGAAGGGAGAAAGAGATGGAGGGAAGAAGGGAGAGAGAGATGGAGGGAAGATGGGAGAGGGGGATGGAGAGAAGGGAGATGGGGATGGAGGGAAGAAGGGAGAGGGGGTAGAGGGAAGAAGGGAGAGGGGGTAGAGGAAGAGGGGAGGGGGGAGGGGAAGAAGGGAGAGGGGATGGAGGGAAGAAGGGAGAGAGAGATGGAGGGAAGAAGAGAGAGAGAGATGGAGGGAAGAAGGGAGAGAGATGGAAGAAGAAGGAGAGACGGAGGGAAGAAGGAAGAAATGGAGGAAGAAGGGAGAGAGAGATGGAGGGAAGAGGAGGGAAAAGAGAGATGGAGAGGAGGATGGAGAAGAAAGGAGAGATGGAGGGAAGGGAGAGAGATGGAAGGAAGAAGGGAGAGGGGGATGGAGGGAAGGGAGAGAGAGGAGGGAAAAAGGGAGAGAGATGTAGGGAAGAAGGGAGCGAGGGATAGAGGAAAGAAGGGAGAGGGGGATGGAAGGAAGAAGGGAGAGAGGGATGGAGGGAAGAAGGGAGGGAAAGAGAGAGAGGAATCATACAGGTCTTAAACGCGATCACGTCGTTCTGTCGCGTTCACTTTATTGTTGCTGACTGCGCAGTGAGTGTGACTGCTTTTGATATTTGTATTCCTATATTTTGAAATGATGAGTAAAAGCATTTGTATTTAAACTGTATCGAACTTAAACAAAAAGGAAAAAAATAAATAGTCGGTTCAATCAGCTGGCTATATTATATATGAGGCATCTATATTTCCCCTCTTAATTTTGTACTAAACATAAAATTTGTGTCCTATAATCATCTGAAAAAAGAATCGTAAATGAGTTTCGTTCTGATTATGTTTTTGATGTTTTTTACGTCAATTAGAAGTTAGTCTAAAGTTGTAATGCATGGCATCCATAAAATCACGGTTGCATGGTTTGTCAGCACAGTTCTCATGCACCGAGATCTCACTTGGGTGTCAGCGAGCGAAGCGTAAAGTCATTCGACATCTCTCTCTCGTCCTCAAGATGTAAGTATATACTAAGTTATAGTGTGTGCGTGTGTGTGTGAGAGAGATGGAGAGGGAGAATGATAATTAGTTAATAATCAATAATAAGAAATACCTCCGCCAATGAGTTTTTTCATGAAATTTTTACCAGAGGTGTGTCTACGCCTAACTTAGATGTCATGAAATTTTGGTGGTGATCCAGATCATGTTCTGGATCCAGTTTGATGTAATTCTTCAAGTGAAAATATTTTTATTGCATCAATGGCCCTATTACCTTGGCGGAGGTATGCGCTCTGTAAGGGCTTATTCAATATATTATATATATATATATATATATATATATATAATATATATATATATATATATATTATATATATATATATATAGTTTTGATAATTTAGATTTATCCTTTTGTTACTGTTTTTCTTGATGTTAAAAGCTGTCTGTTTATGACTACTTCTAAATCTGTGATAGGAATTGCCGGGGTCTCTATCCAATGACAGTGCGGGATTTGAAGGCTACACAGCAGATGGAGGGAAGAAGAGAGAGAGAGGGAAGAAGGGAAAGGGGAAGGGAGGGAAGAAGTGAGCGAGAGAGACATAATCAGAACAAACCTCGTACACGGATTTTCTCTCTCTCCTTTCAGGTGATTATAGGACATAACATTTACAACATTGTACAATATTGCTAGCTGATTAAACCGACCATTTCTTTCTTCTATTTTTTAAAATTTAAATACAAGTTATGATTAAAATGCAAATACAAATGCTTTTACTCATTTCAAAATATACGAATATGGATATAAAAAACGACAACTCTCACTCCGCAGTCAGAAACAACAAAGGCGGGAGAGACATTCAGCGCACGATTCATTGTTCTCTTTTTTCTCTCTGATGCTTATACTCGTCATTTCAAAATATACGAATACATATAACAAACGGCCGCAATCACTGCGCAGTCAGAAACAATAAAGACGGAAGAGACGATTCAGAGTAATGGAGTATTAAATCTATACAATTCATAGATTTCTCTCTCTATATATATTTGTATGTCTCTCTCCCTCCTTCCCTCTCTCTCTGCCTCCCTCCCCACCTCCCTTTTCTCTCCCTTTCTCTCTCTTAGCTTCTTTAAGGGTGATGGAGGTGAATTTATACTAAATTTGATCAAAAGATTTTTTTTTCTCATTTTCTAATATCTTGACAAAAATCAAACATATGGACAAGAAAACATGTCTTACATTATTCGAATAAATCCTGCAAAAATAATCACTTCCTCGAAATACCTATATATAAAAATCAAAATTAGAATATCAAAACTAACTTTAAAACGTTTATATAAATGAATATTCAATTCAATGGCTCTTTGCTTCCTGCTTCTTGATTATGAGTAATAAATAGATTAATTACTTGTCTTCAAGATGGACATTTCTCGTACCTCCTGGGATGCTCTCTCACCCCCAGGAGATGCGATGACCCCTGATTGGGAAACCCTGGGGTAGGGGAGCAAGGTGAGGGAATGTGTTGGTAACAAGAAAAGTGTTTACAATATTCATAAGGTAAATAGTAATAACTGGCAATGAATCTTATGAATGGAAAAGGAATCCCATCAGTACCATATGAATTTAAAGGAAAGTATTTGCTAATTATTTTGTACATTAACATCGTCAGTTTGAAGAATACTGTTAAGAGTAGGAACTTCATGCAGTAGTGATTTACACGTCATTTTAGCGGTAGTTATTGAGGCACCGAAACGTTTGATACATTTTTATTTTTATTTTTTATATTTTTTTTAATATGAAATGGATGAACATTAAAAACTATGAAATCTTTACTCCCTGGCGCCGTCCAGCACCTGCAGTCTGATTTTCATTCGCTAAATGGAAAATATAGTTTACGACACCCAGAAAAAAAAAAACTGAATTCTTAAACTCGAACCTTCCTCCTGTGTTGACATAGTTATAGATCTAATTTTTTACGCGTTTCTAAAAAAAAAAAAAAAAAAAAAAAAAAAAAAAAAAAAAAAAAAAAAAAAAAAAAAAAAAAAAAAAACTGTGGACGATATTTTCCTCTATTCATGAGGATGGACCTCAGCACTAAACACATTTTTCTCATCCCATTAGGAACGCTATGTTAGCAAAGGATTTACTAAGCCTGGTGTGTGAGGTATGTGAAGATAAGAATCTACGAGTGTCGCTCAGGTATGCCTTAGGAGGAACCTTCGTAACGGCTCTCACAACATTCGCCGGATTTCTCGTGATGGGCCCCGTGGGCTTCATAGCAGGTAGCTATTTTTTATGCTATAACTACTGCTGCTACTACTAATGTTCATAGTTGTTCATAACGAAAATAAAAATGATGAAAATGATAATAATAAAGATGATAATAATAACAATGATTAACAAATAATAATTGTACTAATAACTAGAATCATTTAGAGACCTCATACTTTCGCCACTTGAAGAACTACATTAAAATCACCTCTTTCTCAAGTACATTGGTGACGTCCGTGTTTCCCTATTTCGCAAGGCTAATGAATTCTTTAAAAAGATAAAAAATGATGATCCGGATCACCACCAACATCTAATGCCATCTAAGTTGAATTAAAGCACATCTTTGGTAGAAATTTCTTGATAACTTTTTTTGAGTTATCCTGCTGACCAACAAACCAACCAACGGTACCAAAAACATAACCTCTTTTGCGTAGACAGTAATGATAATAGTAATGACGAGCAATAATTATTTGGGTAATAATGATAAGAATAATGAGACTGGATTATTTTAATACTGATAATGTTAATAATAATGACAATAATATCTGTAGTAGTGTCAGTAATAATAATTGCAATAATAAAGATCACATTAGTAGTGTTAATGGACCTGGA